ATAGTCATGGCACATGTTGCATCACACGATTGACACGCAGACATCCACAAAGACTCAACGCATGATTCCTTCTGACTCCTGAATTCTATGCTGGTGCCTGTTGTGGGGGTGGGAAGTTGATACTTTTCGTTCATGCCAGAGTTGTCAGAGCGCAGGTTCGCGCTGTTGCTTTCTGCGTCAGCAGCGACTTGGCTGGCAGGTTCAGTTTTCGTGGACTCTGCCCCCAAGCAGTTTCCGACCTCCTCCTCCTCCTCCATCAGACGCAGATGCGGCGACGATGACAGCATGAAGGAGGCCTTCCAACTTTTTTCGGCTGCAGAAGAAGCAAAGAGAGATCCTGCTAAGCAGGCAGACTTTAGGTCGATGTTCGGGAAGCAGATGTCCTCTTCGGGATATCGTCCTAGCGATCCTGTGCAAGAAGGTCTGAATGAGGTCTTCGGCGCATTTGATGCCTGGTACGCGTGGAGGATGTCAGGATCAGCCAGGCAGGATGCGGAAGATGTCCTTGGCCGTCTTCAGCGTTCAACTGGCCCTCTGAAACAAGCTTGGAGGCTTGCCAGCTCAGCTGGCGACGACGACTACAAAGATAGATTGGGCGCGGCCTATTTGAGATTCCCTGTCTTCTATGCCCAATTAAAAACTCGCCATCCCGAGGTTTTGAGGGCAGAGCTCGCAAGCATGTGCCTTGATTTCCTCAAAATATACTCTGGATCGCGACTGGTGCAGTCTTGGAAGGAAGGCGGGCATCTGCCGTATGCAGATCCTGCTGCATGGCCTTACGACGGTGATGATTGATTCCACTCTGGATCTTTTAACCTTTGAGCTTTGGAGGTGTTCTCCTAGTGACGCTCCTGGCAGTGTGGCTGGATTCGAGTGCCACTTCCCACTCAGGTTTTGTTTGCGACGCTTGTGCAAGGTTTCGCATTGTCAGGCTTTGAAATTTGAGATGCTGAGTGGCGCAATGCGATTGAAATTCCCCCTTTGCCCATGTCATCACATGTGTTACACGATGGTACTTTGACCCTCGGTAGGAGAAGCGCTAGATCGACACCCAGATCCCCAATAGACGAAAACAACGCTTCTACCCAAAAGCCAGAAACCATCAAAACCTAAATCCCACAGAACTTATGCCCTCAGCCTAAGCCCCATCACCCTAATCCGAAACCCCTTAGCCCCCAAAGCGCCCAAAACCCTAATCCCTAAACTCCCTAATCCCTAGACTTCTCGACCTTGAAACCCTTGACCCCAAATGCGTAAGGCCGGCCTGGCTGTTATCTTGCATGCTTTTTAAGGTCCGGGTAAACTCTTTAGTTCCAAACGCTAAACCCTAAACCCCATTCTATATCCCCCTTGGGAATTATTTTTTATTGGTGCTTATGTAAAACCAAGAGGATATTTAAAAAAAACACTATTTGAACTATGGTTCTAAGGGGAGTATAGCATTCATGCTGGCCTCCCTTGCAAGCTCCTCCGGCACCGAGCACAAGCCCCACCGAACCTGCAAAACCCAGAGCTCCAGCTGAATTTGGGGTTCCATGTAGAACGAATGTAGCATGTTTCGGATCTATGTTGGGTTCTCTAACCCTAAACCCTAAGCCCTGAACTCTGCGTGATGAGTTCCACGGTTCTCCACCTTGCCGAAGGGCGCCATATTGTTTGGTGCATTCGAGCCACGGCACCCTGGAATGCGCTTTGATGCACGGCAGTGAGCTTCTACCGTCAGTGAGCTTCTACCGTCCGAACCTTCTGAGCTGTTCTCGTCCGCTCACTGGAAATTCAGGGCCCATACTAAGGGACCATGTAACTAGCCCTAAACCCTAAACCCTAAACCCTAAACCCTAAACCCTAAACCCTAAACCCTAAACCCTAAACCCTAAACCCTAAACCCTAAACCCTAAACCCTAAACCCTAAACCCTAAACCCTAAACCCTAAACCTAACAAGGGACTATGTAATCACCCCAAGAGTGCACCCAGGTCTCCTGCCCAGATGGTTGGCAGAGTCGGAACTACTCGAGGCCCCCCCTTCATGGTTTGGGTTTAGGGTTTAGGCTTTAGGGGTTTGGGGTTTAGGGGGTTTATAGGGTTTATAGGGGTTTTTGGGTTTACAGGGTTTACAGGGTTTACAGGGTTTGTAGGGTTTATAGGGTTGAGAGGTTCCCCCCCCCCCCCCCCCCCGGTCTTCGGGCTTCGGGTTTAAGGGTGTTTCGGGCGTTTTGGGCGTTTTGGGTGTTTAGGGTGTTTAGGGTGTTTAGGGTGTTTAGGGTGTTTAGGGTGTTTAGGGTGTTAGGGTGGCTTAGGACTTAAAGCTAGACAACAAGCCCAAGCTTACAGGTTCTGAGTGCAGAGGTAGGGAAGAAGCCCTAAACCCCAAACCCTGAACCCTAAACCCTAAGCCCTAAACCCTAAACTAAGCCCTACAAGGTTCATATTCTGGGGAGGGGAGGATGTGGGGTCCCGAATCTCCTACAGAGAACTTGTAGGTAAACCTGTAAGTTTGGGCTTAGGGTTTCGGGTTTAGGGTTTAGGGTTTGAGGGTGAATTCGGGTTTACGGTTTGGGGTTTTGAGGGTTTGGGGTTTAGGGTTTCGGACCTAGGCCCTAAACCCGAAACAGGCGTTGTTAGGCCCTAAACCCGAAACCCTAAATCCTAAGCCCGAAGCCCTAAGACCTAAGCCCTAAGTTAGTGCTTAGGGCGTGCGACTCATGTCCAGAGGCTTCTGGTAACTTTTCTCCCTGAACCTCACACCTTCAGCCCTACTGAACACCATTTTGCCCTTAAAAGCCTGGAACCCAAAAAAGCCCAAAATCCTAACCCTAAACCCTAAACCCTAAACCCTAAACCCTAAACCCTAAACCCTAAACCCTAAACCCTAAACCCTAAACCCTAAACCCTAAACCCTAAACCCTAAACCCTAAAACCCCAACCCCTACAACTTCGAAAACACAACCTAAACCATGGTAAGCCTAAACCCCCTAACCCTAAACCCTAAACCCTCATCCCTAAATCCTAAGCCCTAAACCCTAAACCCTAAACCCTTAAACCTCTATACCCCTAAACCCCTAAACCCCTAAACCCCTCAACCCCTAAACCCCTAAACCCCAAACTGGCACCTCTCCGGGGACGCATTGCTCTTGGCCAAGGTTACCCGAAGCCCTACGAAGCACTGAACGTTTAGGGATAAGGGTTCAGGGTTTTTGGGTTTGGGGTTTAGGGTTTAGGGTTAGGGTTTAGGGTTTAGGGTTTAGGGTTTAGGGTTTAGGGTTTAGGGTATAGGGTTTAGGGTTTAGGGTTTAGGGTTTAGGGTTTAGGGTTTAGGGTTTAGGGTTTAGGGTTCCAGGAGCCGGGAGTCTTAAAACCTTACTGGTCGCTGGGCTCCTGAGGCAGAACGTCGAATCCTGAACCTTGAGCCCTAAATTCCCCCTAACCCTAACCCTAAACCCTAAACCCTAAACCCCAAACCCTAAACCCTAAACCCTAAACCCTAAACCCTAAACCCTGAACCCTGCACACTCCACCTCCAAGGATCACCTGGAAGATTATGTGCCGGGGTTCGGGTGGCTGGAAGGCGCATGCCTGAACCCTAAATCCTAAACGGGTGTGGGGTTTAGGGTGTAGGGTTTAGGGTTTAGGGTTTAGGGTTTAGGGTTAGGGGGTTTAGGGTTCAGGGTTTAGGGTGTAGGGTTTAGGGTACTAGAATCCCTATTTAAGGACTGTCAGTATAAGGGGGATACATCTTAACCTAAATCCTAAACCCCAATCCCTAAACCCCAAGCCAGAAAAGGGGCTGGTGGTCTCTTTAAGGAGGGTTCTGTTTTATCGGGCCATCTTTTGGGACTCTTTTTCGGGTATCTTACGGTGGCCTTTATAAGGGTTTAGGGTTTAGGGTTTAGGGAGAAGTTGCACGTGATTCAGTTTCAGTCAGATTTTGCAGGATGGATGGACGACAATAAACCTGGAATGTCTCTTACAACAGCCCTTGAAGGAGCCCAAAAACGGCTTCAACAGAAATATCCTCAAGGCCCCAATAACACTCCAAAGCGAAAAGGCCCAAAAACCCCAGAACACAGCCAAGGGCAAAAAACAAAACCCCCCCCCCCCCAGACCCACCAAAACTCGACAAAAGCCGACAAAAACCCCAAAAGAACTCCGGACGCAACCCTATACAATTTCTATCAATCCTAAACCCTAAACCCTAAACCCAAACCATAAGGCCTCGTTCAGCAGCCCCAATGCACCCCATCCAGGTCCCAATGCTCGTAGGCGGCGCGTAGGGCGGTAGCCCTAAACCCTAAACCCTGTAAACCCTAAACCCTAAACCCGTGTTGGTGGGGTGTGCTGTAAGGCATTGTAGGCCCAGCCTGGGGTGGGGACGCGGGGGCGAGGGTCCTTTGTGTCGTTAGACCTGTTCTCGTTCCAGGCACGCCTCAGGGGCGTGTAGAGCTGTGTAGAAGTGTGTAGAAGTGTGAAGAGGTTTAGGGTTTAGGGTTTAGGGTTTAGGGTTTAGGGTTTAGGGTTTAGGCTGCAGCTGGCACGAAACCCTAAAACCCCCCGAAACCCTGGCTCTCCAGAGAGAGGCGGAAGACCCGCCGGGCTGCAAGATCCTTCTTTGCCCTCATCTTCTGGAGACCCCGGGAATTTTCGGCGTTTAGGGTTTAGGGTTTCGGTTTGGGGTTTGGGGTTTGGGGTTTAGGGTTTAGGGTTTACGGTTTGCGGTTTAGGGTTTAGGGTATTTAGGGTTTAGGGTTTGGGGCAACTTCTTTGTTCGCAGGTTACTGGTGTTAACTCTCACAAATATGGGAACCCTGGGATGCAACGCCCGAAGCCCTAAACCCCAAGCCCTAAACCCTAGCCCTCAACTCAGCCCCACATCCCGGATTGTGAGCGTAGGTCTATGTACCTCTTTGTTTTGTGCATTGCTTGAGTGCTTTCTGCGGCCGCTCAAACAGGGCCAGAGCCCACTGTGGGGTTGTAGGACTGCTACGTTTCCCGTGTTCGGAGCATGGCTTTCGTGCAACCGCGCCTACCACCTTTGCCGGCGGTGTTCCTCAAATTCCAGGACGACTTCCCGGACTCCTCGCGCGTTCTCCGGCGCTGTGGCAGCTATCCCGGCTACACGCCCTTCGAGCTCAACTCGAACTCAGGCGACGAAGCTTCCGAGACGACGCTGCTTGGAGGTTCATGGGTACTGATAATGCCAGTTATATATAAGTCTACTTAGAACCTAATTACTTAGGGGTTTAGGGTGTGTAGGGTTTATAGGGTTTTATAGGGTTTATAGGGTTTATAGGGTTCATAGGGTTTATAGGGTTAATAGGGTTTATAGGGTTTATAGGGTTTATAGGGTTTATAGGGTTTATAGGGTTTATAGGGTGTAGGGCGATAACCCCAGTTTCTAAGTCTACTTATAACCTACTTAGGGGACTTAGGGGGCTTATAAGTGCAGTCATAATTGGGTAAACCCTAAACCCTAAACCCTAAACCCTAAACCCTAAACCCTAAACCCTAAACCCTATTTATCAGTAGCCTGAACACCCAAGTGGTGGCAGGAAGCGCCGAAGAAGACCCGGCTGCGACGTGGCCAGACACCGACGAGGAGGTTGGCTTCCCTCAACCCTAAACCGTAAACCCTAAACCCTAAACCGTAAACCCTAAACCCTAAACCATAAACCCTAAACCCTAAACCCTAAACCCTAAACCCTAGCCCTAAACCCTAAACCCGAAACCCTATAAACCCTAAAAACCCTAAAGGGGCTCCTTGGCGCGCCATGGGCCAACAGCACCTTGGGTCCGCGAAGCGAGGAGACGTCGGAAGACAACTGCAGCTTAGTGGCTGAATTTAGGGTTTAGGGTTTAGGGTTTAGTGTTTAGGGTGTAGCTGAATGCGTACACTTTACACTGGTTGCGATGCTATAGTCCCCCTATAGAGCTGAAGGGTTTAGGGTTTAGGGTTTAGGGTTTAGGGTTTAGGGTTAGGGTTTAGGGTTTAGGGCTTATGAACTCAGCAGTGAAGGCAAAGGTGTCCCTGTCCTGGAGGGCCTTTGTCTCACACCCGTGGGACCACCACCCACCGAGACCGGTATTGATGAGTTCGATGGCAAACGGCCCGAGTCCCATGAAAGTCACTAGGACCAGCGTAGTATAGGGGCCTGAATAATTAGAATAGGGCTTTTGGTTTTTATAGTACAATGATCAAGGGATCATAAGGGTATACTTTTCTGCAGTAATTCTTCCGACCCCTATATTAGGACATTTGTTTTTGCAGTTCTTGGGCTTCCATATAACAGGATGCCCTTTCTGTTCCTAGGTTGCGCCCTGGACTTAGGTCAGGGTGAAGCCGGAAAGTGCTGCTGCAGCAAGGCACACAAGCAGCCTGTGGTCCCTTCCTTGTTGCACATGACAAGGGCCCTAAACCCTAAACCCTAAACCCTAAACGCTAAACCCTAAACCCTAAACCGAGGGGAGCGCAAAAAATGTCGACACAGGCGGTCCCTGGTCTCCCGGCCACTGCGAACGGCATCCCTATTTCGCACATATCGAAGCCGAGTAGTAGAGTAGGCAACCTTTGACCTTTTTTTGGGTAGTATAATCCCCTTATAATCCCCTTATAATCCCCTTATAATCCCCTTATAATCCCCTTATAATACCCTTATAATCCCCCTTATAATCCCCTTATAATCCCAAAAAATCACCTCTAATTCCCCCAGGTTACTGGACAACTAAGGAAGCAAGTTCTGGAAGCCCCCTGCTGCCCTACCTCTCACACGTCGCAGCAAGTGATGCAAGCCACACGCAGCTCGGTCGGAATAATTACTAGCTTTATTCCCGTATGGTCCCTTTGTACTTATACCATGATAGCCCCCAAACCCCTATTCTAATTACCCTAAACCCTAAACCCTAAATCCCAAGCCCTAAACCCTAAACCCTAAACCCTCAACCCTCAACCCTAAACCCTAAACCCGCCCTAAACCCTATTCTACTTATTCAGGCCCGTCTGTTACCTCGCAAACGTCGACGAACATGAAGCAAGCCCGGCGTGCTCGCGCGCAAGCCGTGCGAAAGACCCGACGCATGTTGCCCGCCGTGACTCGGCATGTACTTCGGGGTCATCTCGGGTTTGAGGGTTTAGGGTTCAGGGTTTAGGGTTTCGGGTTTGAGGGTTTAGGGCTTAGGGTTTAGGCACCTACTCATAACGTGCTTATTCCCAGTGTTCAAAGCAAAGCTCAGGTGCCTCCAGAGCAGTTGGCCCATATTGTGCGTTCTTCGCCTTCGACGCGGCCACGGAGGCCGTTCCTTTGTCAGAGTGGGGTAACTTATTTTTTCCATGTTTAAGGGTAGTTAAACTCAATATGGAATAGAAATGTAAGATACTATCCCAACCATGAACCCTAAAACCTAAGCCCTAAACCCTAAGCCCTAAACCCTAAATTGAACTAGGTGCGTGCAGCCCGAGAGCCCCAAGAGCCCACCCTAGAAGCCGAGCTGACGGACGCCAGATGCCCCTTTCTATGGTTGTCGGCACAATCTGCGCGCCGATGAGATCTGAGGTTTAGGGTTTAGGGTTTAGGGTTTAGGGTTTAGAGTTTTGGGTTTATGTAATATAGAGGCCTTGCACATTTGAAGGGGTGCCTTGGGTCGGTTTGCGGAGAGAATCTTAGTGTTTAGGATCCGGTGTCAAGCCGCAGGAGCCCTCGGCCAGGTGGATTTTTTTTCAGGGGGTGCCGGTCAGTCGCTGAATAGAACCGAGCAGTAGGGTTTAGGGTTTAGGGTTTAGGGTTTAAGTAGACGCTTTCTTCGAGAGATAGCATGTGAAGGTTCTTCAGCGACTGCATCGCCTGCACCCCACTCAAGGGTTTGGGGTTTAGGGTTTGGGGTTTAGGGTTTAGGGTTTAGGGATTCCGCTGGAAGACCGCGGAGGAGTGAGGGAGGGCATGGCTGAAAGGTACCGCCAAAACCTCCTAATCTCTAAGCCTTCCTGATATACCGGAAACCCTAGCCACAAACCCTAACCCCCAAACCCTAAGCCCTAAACCTAGACTGCAAAAAAGATCTTAACCCCCAAATGTTCCTCACCCTACACCGCTCACTGGGCCATGCACAATTTTTTGTTTGAGAGCTCAGTTGCGTTCCAGGTATCGGAGCTGCCATCCGGTCCCTGTACAGCTTCTATATGGAGGTTTACGATCTTAGGGCCTTGGGGTCCTTTTTATCAGGGGATCCTACTATGTCGGGGTCTGTATTAGGGGTCGCTTGTTTTCGTAAACCCCCAGAGACTTTTTGTTCGGCGACCTTGCTCTCCGGCACAGCCCGAGTCAGGTGAGTTTTGATTGGGGTTGGCCCCTAAACCGCCTACACCCCCGGAAGCCCCTAAACCTCCTAAGCCCCCGGAACCCCCTAAGACCTAAACCCAACTACTGAAAGGACCTTTCCGGCCGTAAGGGCACCCTGAAGAGTAGTTTGGGTTTAGGCTTCAGGCTTGAGGCTTTCGCTTCAGGTTTAGGGTTTAGGGTTTATAGGGATAGGGTTTATAGGGTTTATTAGGGTTTTTAGGGTTTATAGTGTTTATCATTTAGGGTTTAGCATGGGTACTTCACACAATACGTTTTGGGTTCTCTAAACCGCTATCCTTCATGGAGTTGCGGTTACGGATGTCGTGCATTTTCGCAAAACCCCCCCCCTATAGCGCGAAGGAAAGCAATGAGTACAATCCTCATTGTAGGAGCTCCTCCAAAGAAGACGTGACCACCCCAGGAGTTGTATAGTCGCTTCTTACCACCCCAAGCCCTAAATTCGTATCTTGGAAAACTGTCCTCTACCTGGATGATTCGGAGCTGTCTACGTGCGCTACATGCTGAAGATTGCGAGCGCCACTGTTCAGGGGTATAAGGAGGGACCCCTATTTCTACACATATACATATATCTTTTCCAGCCACTATATATCTAAGAAGCCCCTAAAATCCCCTAAAAAGCCCTGATGTCCGTCATAAGGATCCCTCCTTTATGTCCCTTGAGTCACTGTATGTCGGTGGAAAGTGTTACTAGACACTCCCTTCTGCTCTTAAGGGGTTTAGGGTTTAGGCTTTTAGGGTTTAGGGTTTGGGGTTTTAGGGTTTAGGGATTCCGCTGGAAGACCGCGGAGGAGTGAGGGAGGGCCTGGCTGAAAGGTACCGCCAAAACCTCCTAATCTCTAAGCCTTAAACCCTAAGCCTGATAAACCCTAAACCCTAGCCACAAACCCTAACCCCAAACCCTACGCCCTAAACCTAGACTGCAAAAAAGATCTTAACCCCCAAATGTTCCTCACCCTACACCGCTCACTGGGCCATGCACAATTTTTTGTTTGAGAGCTCAGTTGCGTTCCAGGTATCGGAGCTGCCATCCGGTCCCTGTACAGCTTCTATATGGAGGTTTACGATCTTAGGGCCTTGGGGTCCTTTTTATCAGGGGATCCTACTATGTCGGGGTCTGTATTAGGGGTCGCTTGTTTTCGTAAACCCCCAGAGACTTTTTGTTCGGCGACCTTGCTCTCCGGCACAGCCCGAGTCAGGTGAGTTTTGATTGGGGTTGGCCCCTAAACCGCCTACACCCCCGGAAGCCCCTAAACCTCCTAAGCCCCCGGAACCCCCTAAGACCTAAACCCAACTACTGAAAGGACCTTTCCGGCCGTAAGGGCACCCTGAAGAGTAGTTTGGGTTTAGGCTTCAGGCTTGAGGCTTTCGCTTCAGGTTTAGGGTTTAGGGTTTATAGGGATAGGGTTTATAGGGTTTTTAGGGTTTATAGTGTTTATCATTTAGGGTTTAGCATGGGTACTTCACACAATACGTTTTGGGTTCTCTAAACCGCTATCCTTCATGGAGTTGCGGTTACGGATGTCGTGCATTTTCGCAAAACCCCCCCCTATAGCGCGAAGGAAAGCAATGAGTACAATCCTCATTGTAGGAGCTCCTCCAAAGAAGACGTGACCACCCCAGGAGTTGTATAGTCGCTTCTTACCACCCCAAGCCCTAAATTCGTATCTTGGAAAACTGTCCTCTACCTGGATGATTCGGAGCTGTCTACGTGCGCTACATGCTGAAGATTGCGAGCGCCACTGTTCAGGGGTATAAGGAGGGACCCCTATTTCTACACATATACATATATCTTTTCTAGCCACTATATATCTAAGAAGCCCCTAAAATCCCCTAAAAAGCCCTGATGTCCCTCCTTTATGTCCCTTGAGTCACTGTATGTCGGTGGAAAGTGTTACTAGACACTCCCTTCTGCTCTTAAGGGGTTTAGGGTTTAGGCTTTTAGGGTTTAGGGATTCCGCTGGAAGACCGCGGAGGAGTGAGGGAGGGCCTGGCTGAAAGGTACCGCCAAAACCTCCTAATCTCTAAGCCTTAAACCCTAAGCCTGATAAACCCTAAACCCTAGCCACAAACCCTAACCCCAAACCCTACGCCCTAAACCTAGACTGCAAAAAAGATCTTAACCCCCAAATGTCCTTCACCCTACACCGCTCACTGGGCCATGCACAATTTTTTGTTTGAGAGCTCAGTTGCGTTCCAGGTATCGGAGCTGCCATCCGGTCCCTGTACAGCTTCTATATGGAGGTTTACGATCTTAGGGCCTTGGGGTCCTTTTTATCAGGGGATCCTACTATGTCGGGGTCTGTATTAGGGGTCGCTTGTTTTCGTAAACCCCCAGAGACTTTTTGTTCGGCGACCTTGCTCTCCGGCACAGCCCGAGTCAGGTGAGTTTTGATTGGGGTTGGCCCCTAAACCGCCTACACCCCCGGAAGCTCCTAAACCTCCTAAGCCCCCGGAACCCCCTAAGTCCTAAACCCAACTACTGAAAGGACCCTTCCGGCCCTAAGGGGACCCTGAAGAGTAGTTTGGGTTTAGGCTTCAGGCTTGAGGCTTTAGGCTTTAGGTTTAGGGTTTAGGGTTTAGGGTTTGTAGGGTTTATCATTTAAAGGCTTAGCACAGGTATGACACACAATACGGTTCTCGAAACCGTTATCCCTCATGGAGTTCACAGGAGTACGGTCACGGATGTCGTGCATTTTCGCAAAAGCCCCCCCCCCCCACTATAGCGCGAAGGAAAGCAATGAGTACAATCCTCTTTTAGGAGCTCCTCCAAAGAAGACGTGACCACCTCAGGGGGTTGTCTAGTCGCTTCTTACCACCCCAAGCCCTAAATTCGTATCTTGGAAAACTGTCCTCTACCTGGATGATTCGGAGCTGTCTACGTGCGCTACATGCTGAAGATTGCGAGCGCCACTGTTCAGGGGCATAAGGAGGGACCCCTATATATACACATATACATATATCTTTTCTAGCCACTATATCTCTAAGAAGCCCCTAAAGAAGCTCTAAGGTCCCTTATAAGGGTCCCTCCCCTTATGTCCGTTGAGTCACTGTTTAGGGTTTAGGGTTTAGGGTTCAGGGTTTAGGGTTTAGGGTTTAGGGTTCAGTGTTGGTGGAAAGCCCTAGTGTCAGAGACTCCCTTCTGCTCTTGAGGAGCAGACGCTTCGGGGCTCGTTCACCCATCTGTCAGCTTTACACCCAGGACCTTACCAGAGGGTGTTCCCTGAACCATGTTGAAAGGTTTAGGGTTTAGGGTTTAGGGTTTAGGGTTTAGGGTTTAGTGCTTCTAAGTCACTATCTTGGTGGCTGATCCCTGTTGATCCTGAGGTGACCAGAGCGAAGCCCGTCTGATCTAGACATGCATGTGCGCCTGCTTTTGTGGTGCAAAACGCTAAGCTTGTGGAGCAAATGAACCCGGAAAAAAAGTCGATGGCTCAAATAACCCAAATATAGCAGTATCGGGCATTTGACCCCTAAACCCTACATCCTAAACCCTGAACCTTAAACCCTAAACCCTAAACCCCCCCAAAGCGCTAAACCCTCAGCTGCAGAAACTTCCGAGCCCCTAAGCCTCTTCAAAGCGCAAACGCTTAGACTCCTCAACCTCAACCCTAAGTTTTAGGGTTTAGGGTTTAGGGCTTAGGGCTTAGGGCTTAGGGCTTAGGGCGTGGGGCTTAGGGCTTAGGGTAAACCACTCCGAAGCCCCTCAACCCTAGGCCCCACTTATCCCTTAAACTCCCTAAACCCCTAAACCCTCAACCCTACCCTAAACCCTTAAACCCTAGGCCCCTTAAACTCCCTAAACCCCTAAACCCTCAACCCTAAACCCTAGCCCTAAACCCTTAAACCCTACACCCCAAGTCCCCAAAAACCCGAAAGTCCCCAAAACCCTCAACTCCAAACCTCCCAAAAGCTCTTAAACCCTAAACCCTTCACCCTAACCCTAAACCCTAAACCCTAAACCCTAAACCCTAAACCCTAAACCCTAAACCCTAAACCCCCAAATCCCCGCAAGGACGACTTCGGAGCCTGGAGGGGGGCGCGGGAGTACAACGCCACCCAGCAGTTGAGCTGCGCCGAAGGCCTCTTGGCTTCGAGTTTGGGGTTTAGGTTTAGGGTTTAGGGT